ACCTAATAAATAATTCTCTTTTAAAAAAACAGTGCAATCACGTAAAATCCAATAGTCAGTGAAAAATAATTGATTGAAGAGAATTTAGCGTGTGGATTTTGGTCCTGACCATCAAAAACACTTCGATTGGATCTCTGAAACGGGAATGGGAGTATCAGATACATTGAATTACGTTCTGTTTTCTACTCCCGTCAGCTCGGGTGCCGGTTCGTTTGCGAAAACTGCTGCATCAACTGTAAGTCGCTGTTATTTTATAATAAAAAATAAGAGGAATCAATTTATTTATTGTTATTGCCTGATTTTTGGAGACTGGGTAATGCTTCTATAGTTTATTCTATTTTTGAAACTTTGAGGTCATGTAGATACCATACAGCGATCAAAATTGTTTTTTTTTTGACATTTGTTAATTACATGAGGAATGAATATCCATGAATTTTTTAGGTTATCAATTATTCAGGCCTCAAGCCCCGTGTTGAGTACAAACTGGTTCCACCTGAGCCTTTGCGGAAATCGGCAGCAGCCTCAGGGCTTTATTTGAAATTGACAGGACTCAGTGGAGCAACTGCAGTGATCCTCGGGGTATATGGAGCTCACAGTGCGGATTTTTTTTATTTTTTCAGTCATCGGGTCCTTATATTCTTGATTAAGAATTATTTATATTTTTTTTTAAGGCAAATATAAGGACGATCAATTGAAGCAAGTGTTTGAGACAGCGAATAGATATAATTTTTATCATTCCCTGGCTATGGTGGGGCTGGTTACGTGCAGGGCACCAATTCTGGTCAGTATTAAGGCACATGATTCCATGAAAAAATTATTATTTATCTTTATATTGAGTAAAAATATGTCTTCCAGGCTGCTGCCCTGTGGATGTCAGAATCTCTAATGTTCTATAGGAGTTCCCTTTCGACTGGTCCCTGTGGCAGCGGGACTGCTACTGAAGAGTCCCTGAGTCGGCTAACGAGCAGGTACCCCAGCGTTGGGTGTGGCGCCCTCCCTCTTATGGGGTCGGCTACTACGATGCCGCTGGGGTCACTCAAACCCCCAGAACTGAGCCTCTACTTTGGTCAATCCTGTTTGGGCTAAGGTATGATACAACCTTAGCATGGGCCAATTAAAAAAATAATAAATTAAGCCAGTGATCATGGGAATTTCAGCACTCGACAAAGGCACGATAAAGCAGATAACAACAACTCAAGTAATTACATCTGTACTCAGTGTTGTCAAGGAACTGGTGGAAAATGCTCTCGATGGAGGGGCGAATCACGTGGAGGTTTACCTTGAAGATAAAGGCCTGGGGTTCATTGAAGTGAAGGACAATGGGGGAGGAATATGTAAAACAGACTCTGTATCCATGGCACTACCCTCTCACACGTCAAAAATATCAAATATGAGTGATTTAGAGACTCTGGAGACGTATGGATTCAGGGGTGAGGCTCTGAATGCCATCTGCAAGGTGTCAGACGTCAAAATAATTACGAGGACACACGAGGATGATCATGCACGATCTTACATACTGTCTCATGATGGGAATATAGAAAAAGCCGAATTCTGCAATCGAGCTATTGGAACCACCGTCCAAGTGAGATCCCTCTTCAGAAACTTTCCAGTGAGACGCCAGATGATAAGCAACAAACGACAGGCAACTGAGACAGTTAAATCAATAGAAAATCTCCTCCAGGACTTTGGACTTTGTCTGCCAACTCTCAGGATCAACTACCGAGTGGACGATATCACGGTTTTCTCAAAAGTCCCTGCGGAAACTGATGATCAGAATCTCTCCAGTGTTTTTGGGAGAAATTTCGCAGCTCAGTATCAACGCCTCAATTTCAATGAGCTAGACTCTACTGGGGTCTTAACTGTTCCCAAGAAGGACTTGGCAGATCTGTCAAGCATAAGCCAGATTATTTACTCACATATTTTTGTCAATGGGAGACCGGTGACACTCAAGGAATTTGAAAAGGTCAGAGGCATTTCTTTTCATTTCCACTAGTAAAATCTTTATCTATTGAATTAAAATATTAAACAGAATATCGAAAAACACTTTTAATTGTTCGATAATTAATGGAATTGAATGTTTTAACTCCAGGCGATAATGAAAGTAATATCTGTCCACTTCGAGAGTAAAATTTCCACTCGAAAAAAGCCAGCCTTTTTCCTGAATCTGATAGTGTCCCCCTCCTCCGTGGACGTCAACCTGGAGCCGAATAAAACGTCAGTCCTCCTGGTGAATCATTCCAAAATCCTCTCTACGACGACGAAATTGTTATCGAATTACTACGAAATCCCTTTGGAGCCTGAGGAGGCGTCCTTGGATCCGTCCCCAGCCCTCGATGACTCTCAAGCCTCCGAAGCCGATGTCCATTCCCCAACACCGAAAAAACCTAGAGTAGAGAAGCGAGAGAAATCCCCGGGACTCCGAAACACTGAAAACAAGGAGAACGAGACACGAAACACTGAATTACCAGGGGCTCTTCTCCAGGGAGAGCCAAGGAGTCAATTGCCGGAAGTAGACCTGGGGGAGGATTTCAATACTCAAGACATTGAGGCCCTTCCGACACTCGATGAAGATCAGCTGAAGGCCCTGGAGAAGGTCTTCACCTCTCCTGAGGTCGGCCAGATCACAGCCTCCCAGTGGAGTAAGGGACAGGTTAGAAATCATTTAGTGAATTAAATTCTCCATCGAAGTTTGTCTTTTTTATTCCACAGATACCCTTCGCACTCCCTGGGAAGACTGACGTGTCGATTGTGAACATATGCCAGAGCCCCCAGACGTCGAGAAACAGTTCCTCGAACCCAGAGGCCAACAAAAACGGTTTCCTCAAGTTCTCGAAGGAGATGCGACCCAAACTTATTCGAGAAAATCGTGATATGAACCTCGTGCAAATCGCCAAACTTCTAACTGAGGAGTGGAAGTCCCTGGGGCCTGAGGGAAGGGAGCGTTATCGAGAGCTGGGGATGCAGGACGAGTCTCTCTCAAGGACGCGGCAGTCTCCGAGTGGACAGAGACCTCAGAAGGCCAAGGAGTCGTTGGCTGATAAGAAGAGGCTCTTGAAATTGCTGGAGAATATGAAAGAGGCGCCCAAGGGGAAACCGAATGTCTTAGGGAGGACTGTTATACCCTGGGGGATCAACATGCAGACAATGCTGCAGGCGTTTCGAGGCAGAAGGGCTGGGGGTAGTAATTTGGTCGTGGGAGCCCTTGAGGATGACGTTTGGATTGTCAGGACTAACAGCCAACTGTGGTGCCTTCACGTGGAGAAATTGTTTCAGGGGCTCCAGGTGGAGGAACAGGAGAGTCAGAAGGTAATCTTCATTTTGGATAACGAATTCGCTGATGATTTTTGGTTCATCTTAGCTTTTCTATTCTAGACACCAGAATTCATCGAACAGTGCCTGCAACGATGGCTGAGGGAAAAGGATTCCATGGATCTGATGCACCCAATTTTTGAATTTTCAGAGCTGAAGGACAGAAATTGAAAACACAAGAAAACATTTGATTTTTTGATATAAAAAAGAAGTCATATTTCATTTCAATCGTTAAATTATTAAAAAGCGTTACTGTTGCATGCAAAAGATTATCCATAGATCACGATACATTGTAAATAAAATTAATAAAGTGAGCGTAAAACGAATAAACTATTTCCCTGAAGAGTTTACGCATCAGCCCGAAATACTCTTCTCCGTTTGCAATTAGTCGTTGTAAATTCTTTGATGGGAGCTTGTGAATAATATTTTCCAACACGTGTCCACTCGAAACAAATTCTCAGACACGTGCAGGTAATTGGTTCAATAACACCACGATATAGTGATAAAAAGTCTCATGATTCAGACAGACAAACACCTAAGAAATGTGATCAGGAGACTGCTGATCTTTACTGGGAGAGCGCTGACTCGTGCCAACGTATTCGAAACATCGTCATCAGAATCGCGCGACTTTTATTTACAAAAGCTAGTGGATATAGACAGCTTGACCTATAAAGAGCCTGAGACACTTCCGCAATCCCCAGTAAACCAATAACACTTGCAAGTAACTGATCACAACGCAATCTGTTAAGTCTGACCTTGAGTGTTTCATTTGTTAAATAAAACAAAAGAGGATCTCAACAATCTGACGAATTATTATATAAAATTAAAGAGTATAAAGAGATTTTTTAATTCAAGTGCATAGAATGGTACTGAGTAAACATGTAAAGACCTGTCGAAGGGGAGTCTCATTAACCAGGTGAGCTCGAATTTTCTCGAACAGCTGATTTTGACAGTAGCCTCTCGCGTCCTTAAACAATCTAGTCACTTTTTAGTCCTTTTTAATAATTAATTTCAGCCCTTGCCATTTTGTTTTATTATTTCATTCGGTCTTATTTTCATTATTATGTGAATGTTTGCTGACTTTACTACAATTGTAATGAAATATACTTGGAATATTTAAAATTTCGATTTTATAGAAAAAGTGCATCAGTATTCCGCGAATTTATTATTTAAAATTTAGGAAAAAACAATGAAGGTCTCAAAAACAGGGAGTGTTATTAATTATAATATTTATGGGATTAATAGAAATTGTCGTTTGACAATTGGAATTTTCATGCTAAATTATTATTATTGTTGTTGTTATTATTATTCCTTTGTGAATTAGTGAATCTGCGATTAGAGATGATTCACTGTTTTGATGAGGTTATGTAGGATTAATGGACTGTTGTTGGAGGTAAATAGAGGGTTGTGATCTCGATGTCATTGATTTGTTTTTATCTTCTAGACGCTTGACAGAGAGTGCCACAGGTAGGGATGGTTCCGAGAACGTCAAGACAATGGCAGAGAAGCTGTCAACCTCTGTGACACTTCTGTCGAAATCAAACAAGACGATGGCATTGTCCCAATGGAGAGTGTTAACCCAACTGAAGGGTTACCTCGCACGACCTGAGTACAAGAATTTCCAGATAATCATCAGCAAGTACTGGATGGAGGCGCTGCAAAAGGTGTCTGGTCCACCCCTGGAGAATGTCCGGGGTTTTTCGATGGGTGACAGCTCTGAGAAGAAGTCTGAGGAGCCAGAGAAGAAGTCGGACATGGTGGATACCCTGAAGGCCACGAAAAACATTGATAAATCGTTAGAAGTGGCAAAAGACAAGGATGAGCCCCAGAATCAATCACTCTCTGCTGACCAAGTGCTGCAGAACACCAAGGATCAGATAATGGCTTTGCCTCAGGCTGTCAGTGATTTCTGGGAGAAGCTCAACCCTAAGAAATCCCCACCTCTGGTGACTGTACCCAAGTGGAAGACCAATCTCAGCAACAGCATCACCAAGCACAGCATCGCCTCAAGGACGAAGCACGTGCTCAACAGCATCAGCACAGCTGAGACAACCGCCTCGAGGTTCAGGAGAATTGAGGATTTATTGACTCACATCGAGCAGTATCCAGAGGCCAGGCATCTTGCTCTCAAAGAGGGGGCTATTACTATTCTCTTGAGGGTGAGACAGCTATCGAGTGATCTGAGTGTCACCCAGGCTGTCAGGGAGGCGCTCGCTATCATGGGATATGTCGATCCTGTTCCTAGAAAGGGCATCAGAATATTGTCAATCGATGGAGGTGGCATGAGGGGTCTTCTCGTCATCGAGATGCTCAAGAAACTCGAGGAACTCACTGGCCAGAGGGTTCATGATATGTTTGATTACATGTGTGGAGTCAGCACTGGAGCCATTCTATCTGCCGTTCTTGGTGAGTTTTTTCACGTCTTCTGAGATTTTTAGGCTTAATGGGATCATTTTTAGACAAAAAGTTTAATTAATTCTGTGAAGTGCACAAAGCAATTGACATTTTAATATTGGCGATAAACATTATTCTTATTTGTTGGAATCGCAGCTACTATTCGGGAATCCAGTGATATCGGTATAGAATTCTCACTCTAATATAAGAAACAATTCAAAGAGGAAAATAGATCTTTTTATTGTCTTTATTCTCTATTTTAGGTGGCCACAAGCAGAAGACCCTCGACGAGATATCAGATTTATACAAGGACCTGAGTGCCAAGGTCTTCACACAGGGTGCACTCAGAGGCACCAGTAGCCTGATGTGGAGTCATGCTTATTACGACACTGCCTTGTGGGAGCAAATACTCCAGGAACAACTAGGGGACAAGGACTTAATCAAGACTCAACGAGACCCCAATTCCCCAAAGGTATCCTAATTAAAAATTTTGATCTAATAAATTATAATTAACTGCGATAATATAAAGATAATTCTCTCCGGAATTAATTGATTTCTTCCCATTAAAAATATAAAATAGATTTAGAGAACGAATGAATAAAATTTTTTAATGCATTCTCTTCTCGTCAGTTTTCAGCGATAGCTTCAGTATTTGATAACGTCCAGATAATGGCCTACATCTTCAGGAATTATGCTTTACCACCTCGAGTTGAATCCCAGTACATGGGGTCACACAGACACAAGATCTGGGAGGCTGTGCGAGCCTCAGCAGCAGCCCCAACTTATTTCGAAGAGTTCAAACATGGAAAGTATATTCTCTCGGATGGCGGGATCATGGTTAATAACCCGTGTGCTGTGGCAATCCACGAGGCAAAATTGCTGTGGCCAAACACACCGATACAGTGTGTGGTTTCCTTCGGCACTGGGAGAACACCACCCTCAATCAACGATGGGGATGAGACCACCACTGCCTCCAGCTGGAAGGATAAATTCGATAAAATTCTCGCCAGTGCCACTGACACTGAAGGTATTATTCATTTATTCATTTATTCATTTATTCATCTTTATTTTTTTATTCCGCATTACAGAAAATCACCAACTTACTATATTATGATCATCATTTGTTTATTGATATAAGACTAAAGATGAAGAATAAATTCTCAATTGAAATTCAAAAATAATTCTGAGAATTATAATAAAGAAATTATTGTTCTGGGATTTCGTGGAATTTTCCGGTGTTTTCACTCTATTGTTTTCTTTTCTGCACACAGGTGTTCACACGATGCTGAACGATCTCCTCCCAGATCACGTCTACTACAGGTTCAACCCCTACCTGACGGAAATGCTCCCAATGCAGGAGACGAGACCCGAGAAATTGAATCAGTTAGAGCAAGACGCAAGAATGTACATCCGGAAGAACGAGGATAAATTCCATCACGCTGCAATAGCCCTCAACCTCAGAAAATCGATACCCCAGAAGGTCCTCGACTTCTTGAAACTACGAAAACAACTTCTCGGCTTCGATTAGAATAATTAATTTGCACTGACTGCATTTTCTCTTGCCGCCATATTATAATCATCCTGACTGTGATATACTAGACCTTTGTGTGATTTTCATTTACCGATTAAGTTGCATAATGAATTCTTGTCGTTCATTTATATTAGTAACTTTTATTAATATTATTCCTAATAAATTGTATTAGCAAATATCTTTAAGTTTTTACTAGTTGCATAATGAATTCTTGTCATTAATTGATAGATTTATATAGAGTCTGTGGAATTGCACTGGATCAATAAATGTAAATAGAATTGAATAGATTCTTAGTAAATTATTGATAATTTCTTATTCATTTAATTCTGTAGTCATTTCTATTTTATTATAATCGCTGATTTCCAGTTCAGACTATTGACGAAAAATAATCAAAAGAATTGACAGTTTTACAAATTCCCGCCAGAGGCACCCAAATCGTCCTCTTTTTTATTTCCGCTTCCGTCGTGTGGTACGTTTCTCCCAATTTTTCATAAGTAATAACGTCAAACGAATCCAATTAATTTCCGCGAATCCCTCAAAATTATCAATTTCCAGAGCTACAAAAGAAATCAATAGTACCCTTGACATTTTTCTGATTGATTAGTTCTGTGAAAAATTTTCATTGTGCAAAAAACTCTGACATGATCTAACCTCAATGGCTGAACGTAAATAATCAACAGAGTATATAAATTTTGTTGCAGAAACGCTGAGGAACTGCAGTAAAAATGGCAAAGTCCAAGAATCACACAAATCACAACCAGAGTAAGTCCGATAAATATTTGTACAATAATATCAATTGGAATTTCGATTTTACTCGATTGTTTCCACAGGCAGGAAGGCCCACAGGAATGGCATCAAGAAGCCCAAACGTTATAGGCACGAGTCCACAGTTGGTGTGAGTACAAAATTCTCTGAAACAATTTTTTCCAGGATTTTGAAAAATAAATCTAAATCCAAAATCGAATTTATCCAGAAAAATCGCATCTTACAGGAATTCAAGCTAAACAAGCGTTTCTAAAAGTCAAATATCTCTCAATCTGAAAGAAATCATGAAATTATTATCAATACCTTTTTTGTAGCTTTCCATCAGCTCTACAAAAAAGATACTGATGACATTTTCGCTGTCTCCCTTGAATCTCGAAATATTTCCCAAAAACTGAACTAGTCGTGTTTCAATTCAACTTCTGAAATGTATTGTTTCCCTGCAGATGGACCTGAAATTCCTACGCAATCAGAGATTCGCCAAGAAACACAACCTGAAACCTAAGGCCCAGCTGAAGAGGGCAACAGAACGCAAGGCCCTTCGTGAATCCAAGGGAAAGAAATAAATGTAGACTTTGCAAGAGCCACAATAAAATTTGAAAAAACCTAACATCCAACTTCTGATTTCACGATGGAAATAAAATCCTGTGTTCGGTATTGAGTGAAATGTGTCGTGGGGTTCACCAACGGTTGAATATATAATTAGAGGTTAACGAATTCTTTACGGTATTTCAATGAGTTTCAATATGGCTGACGTGTCAGAATCGAGTGCTCGGCTTCCGGAGTCAATTCTATTGTTCAGTGGAAAAAGAAAATCTGGGAAGGATTACATCACTAATAAATTGTTCGATGCGTAAGGAAACATTAATCAATTGACAAATTAAGAGATCTATTGCATTAGATTCAAATCTATTCTCTGATACGAATAAATTTTGAACAGTTGATTCTAGTTTAACTTTCTAATTTATCAAAATTCTTTCTTGTGTACCAGAGTCCATTTTTAGAATTGATATTAATTAATATTAATTCATTAGTATCTAAAAAATTAATAAATATGCTATCAACATTTTTTATCGCAATTTCCATTGAACTGAATAGTTAGAGAAATGAGAAATTTTATTGATTTTGTCCCCTGAAATCAAAGGCAAGGATTTTTTCCATAAAATTCACGGGTGAAAATTAATCGAGTGGGAGTTGTAAATAATAATAATTGTATGATTGTGTAATTAATGAAAAATTCTACAGGCTGGGTTCGGACTTTACTGTTATAATAAAGATCTCAGGCCCCATAAAGAGCCACTGGGCGAAGTCTCGGAATCTCGATCTAGATCGGTTACTGAGTGATGGGGAATACAAAGAAAAATATCGACTTGAAATGATAAAATGGGGAGAAGATAGGAGAAGACAGGATCATGGATATTTTTGTCGGGCTGCTATTGATATGTATAATGGTAAATACTTTGAATTCCTCTCATGTCTATGGATCAAAGAAAGAGTGCACGCTCACCGCTTTTTCAATGAGTAAAAATCCCATTTAAATTATTTTAATTATTCATTTATTTTATTTGTTGGAAAACCTGAACTAGACGTTTATGAAATTTTTTATTCTAAAATTGATCGGTGAGATCAATAAATATTTAACGAAACCAAAGCACTAGTTGTTGATTTATTTATGATGAATAAAACAACAATTATATAATTTATATATTAAACAGAAAATGGTCTAGTGTGCATTCTTTTCCATATTTTCTTTGCTCGTGTTTTCTATGGGTTATTGGGTTTTAGCCAGAGGCAAGAGGATTTGGATAGTCAGCGATGTCAGAAGGAAAACTGATGTCCAGTGGTTCAGGGACAATTTTCCAGGGAAATGCCGAGGCATTCGGATTAATTGCACAAATGAAACAAGAGAGAGACGTGGCTGGCGATTTACTCCAGGTATACTGAAACCAAAGAATTCTCACAAAATAACTAGAATTCTGTTCGACATGACAGTTAATCAATAAACAAATAAATTTTCAAGGAGTCGACGATTGCGAAACCGAGTGTGATCTGGACGACATCGAGGATTGGGATTTAACGATCAATAACGAAGGGGAAACCTCAGAGGATATACTAAAACAACTACTCCATCTGATCGAACAACGATAGCTCCAATTACCTCTAAAAAATTCTTCTCCCCTTAGTTAAATCCCATAATTATCCATGTAACATTGAAAAAATATATTTTTTAAGATTAAAATCAAAACGCAATGCCTACATTCCTTGAAGTAATCAAATACTTATTTTTCCAATTCCAATTTTATCCCCCAAATATTAACGACACAAATAATTAATGTACTAACATAATTACGTATTAATTAAAATTCCGTCTCGTTATTGGAGAATAAAATGTTCCGGGATCTCAAGGGATCGTAAAGCACGTGGTCCTTTCCCCGGGTTCCTCAAAAAGTAAAAAAAAAACTGAAATTGGCGCTTTTTAGAAGTGGATTTGATTTGCGCATTACATGACGCGCAGACAGCGTCGTTTGCGCACAACAGTTCCTGTGAGTACTCGAACGGACATGATGTATCGTTGAGTGTAATTTCGCGGCATATCCGCGATTAAAAAAAAACAAACCGGACATATCAGTGACGTGAGTGTATTGAAAGCAACATAATCAACCCGATAACGAGAAGATTGTTGTAACAATCGGGACTGAAGGACCAACGAGAGGTAAAATGATTAGTGCATTCTCAGACTTCCATCCACCTCACCTACTTCCTCCCGACTCCAAACAAGATGGCTGCCATCACCTTTCCACTATCGTGTTTATTATTATTTTTATTTACATAAGCGCGGGATTTACTGTTTGTTGTCAATTAGATTGAACCACCCATATCTATCATTTGATTTGAGTAAAATTTTACTGAACACGTGTTGACAGGTGTTTTTTTTTCCGGCGGTGACTCATGCGAATTGTCATGGTTTCGTTTTTTTCTTCTTAGAGTGACTGCACAATGTCAAGTTCTTACATCGTCGAACCCAGGGAGAGTGCCTCAAAGAAGGATGACACGCTGATTATTGTTGTTAATGATGATGGAACTATATCTGTCGATCAGGAGACTCTGCAAAATCTAATAAGTGAGTGAATAACCCACACTGGTGGATTTGATCCTGGCTCTCTTGACATTCGCTGAGTGGAATTCAATGGATCATATTTCATTTTTAAGCCGGTTTCCAGGGCTTTGAAATAAGAGTTGGATCGTTTGAATCGGGTCGCTGGGTCGGACAATAATAGAGTTTTTGTTTCCAGTTTTTTTTTCTTTCATTTTTATACTGCTCAAAAATTATTAGATCGAGACTCAATAATTTAATTATTTATTTGGGTGATTATTTTTGGTCATCATAAATCAGAGGAATCAAGAGTTTTTGTAACGTCGAGGAGATATTTTTTGAATAAATAATTTAGCAATTAGTCGAACAATTAATTAATAGAGACTAATTTTTCAATGACATTCTACGTAAAAGTTTCACCATTGAATCAATGAAAATACTCAATTCTTGAACTGCTATTGTAAACTTGTCACATAATCTGAAGACAACAGAATAATTGACTCGAACCTTGTGATTACAGTGAATCAATCGAACGCCAATGTAAGTGTAGTGCGAGTAGGTCAGACAGAATCAGACGCTCCAAACGGTGACTTGACATTCACAGTGGATCCACCCACATTCGGACCCGCCGAGGCCACAACTGCAGCAGCAGTGACAACAACTCCGGACATCGTGGACCCCTTCATGGAGATGGATCCGGAGCAGTTGAAGAGACTGGAGACGGCCCTGCAGAGTGAGCAGGCGAAGCAGATCCTCGGGGAGAATGTGACAGCGATGCTGGACATGTTGACAGTGGAAGAGGAGCAGAATTCAATTCGATACAGCATCGAGCTGGACCATTGCTACACAAGTCGCACGTCTCCAGCAGATCCTCCTCCCCTGGATCCCCTGCCAGTGGCGCACTCTCCAGAGATCGAGAAAGTGGAATTCCTGTCGAGTGTGAATCCACAACAGCTAGCAGATGCACCAGAGACCCTGACCCCCTTGAAATCCCCTCCGAAGAAGCCAGTGGGTCGTCCCAGGAGAACTCCCCCAGGAGTCCCAGTAGTGCAGTCGTCTCCCAGCATCCCAGAGTCTCCAAAGGGTTCGCGACTCCAGGAGGATGAGGATTCGAGTCCCTTCTCCTCGTCAGAGTCCTCCGAGTCTGAGCCATCGGACTCTGACGTGGACTTTGGCCCTCGTGGCCCAAGGCGAGGAGGTGTTAGAGCTAGAGGGGGTCGCAAAGGCTTGACAACACGTGGTGGAAGCATGGCAAGACGTCCAGGACGCCCCAGTAAACTCGACAATGATCAGGTGCGCAGGTTAAACCTGGAAATGGCAGCAGCAGTCGATGAGATGAAGAGCCCATTGAAGCCCGAGACATCTGATCTGCGCTCCAAGAAGCAAATCAAGACAATGGGGGGCAAGAAGAAGGAGGAGGCACCAGGGACTCCAACTGAGCCACCGCCTTCCCCTGAGAAGCCGCTCCAAACGACCAATCAAGTGAAGGCAAACCTCATCAGCGCTAATATGATCAAGGGAGACATGATCTTGACAAAACCCGGACAATCTAGGAACAATCAGAAGGTCTATTTCGTCCAGAAGAAAATCATGGTGAAAGCCAATGAGATAAAGAATTTTGGTATTAGGAAGTCACCTGTTGTCATCACCAAGGCGCCTGTCAAACTGAATAACCAGGTGCAGACGCGATTATCCACGTCTCAGGATGGAAAACTGATTACAGTGGTGAGCAAGGCAGTTGCGGTGCCTCCAGCAGCTCTTCCTGATGTGCCAGGAGTAGTAGATAACACCAGTCAATTGTCCGAGGTGGTTCAGATCTCAAAGCCCTTGGCTCCACAGACTCCAGTTAAAGTTAAACCTGTGGAGTTAAAGAAGGAGAAGAAGGAGCCTCCAAAGACCCCGGAGATCAGAACACCAGATCCATCGAAAAAGCACGTGAAGAAGGAGACGAAGAAATCACCAGGGGTTTTCGTGGAGGCACTTGGTCCTGCGCTGTTCTCCACACCTGATATCATCAGGAGGGTGGGATCCGTGGGGGAGGCAAAGGCCCCTGAACACCACGAGCCCCACGAACAGGAGCCCCATGTTTCTCCTCAGCAGCCTCATGTGTCCCACGCCCCTCACCAACCCCCTGGAGTGCCTGAGGAGCCAGCACCAGAGGCTAGTCCTGAAAACACTCCAATAACCAAAGATTTGTTGGGCTTAGAAGAAAATAACAAAGACCGAGAGACTTTGGGTGTCGGGGCAACACCTGATAATAACCTGAGGCTTGAAGAGGAGCCCAGGGAGCTGTCAGAGTCCCAGGATCACGATAAGATCGAAAAACAGGTTACTGATGACCTGCATGCTGTGCTAGACCCCGGTGGTATTGAGGGTAACGAGCACCTGCTGGCAACCCTGGAGATGGAAGCGAGTAAGCACGAGGAGGAGCTCCTGGCAGAAGCTCTTCTTCTTCAGGAACAGCTCGACGTGGATCTGACTGATCCGTCAGCCCTCGATGGTGCACCTCCCATTTCTGAGAGCCTCCTGCCACCTCCCTTCGATCCTCCCCTCCTGGCAGAGCCCTTACCACCCTCGAAACCCCCCGAGCAAATTCTAGAACCAGTAATTGAGTCAGAGACCTTCCAGAATCCGGCCTCAATGTCACAGATCGATCCCAAGAAGAGAGACACCAGGGAGCCCATTCAGATCGTCCGAGGTGGGCGAATAATCACCCTACCCCCCATCGAGGCCCCAGCCACCAGGAGCAAACGTCTGCAATCAAAAACAGAGTCTCCGAAGCCTCAGGATCCACCAAAACGTGAAGAGAAACAACACAAACCCTCTACACCCCTTCATCAAAAGAAATTCGAAGAAATGGATTCTGAAATGGAGGACGACGATGAGGAAGACAACTCCGACTCTGAAGACGATCCAAATCGACTGTGGTGCATCTGCAAACGTCCCCATAACAATCGTTTCATGATCTGCTGCGACGTCTGCGAAGACTGGTTCCATGGCAAATGCGTTCACGTGAGTAAAGCCATGGGTCAGCAGATGGAGGAGCAGGGAATCGAGTGGGTCTGTCCCAATTGCGCCAAGAAGAAGGGTGACGAATCAACGAAATCCCAGAAGAAGAGCCACAGATCGTCAACACCGAATTTGAAGACTCCTGAGGAAATACCGAAGATCGCGGGGCCAATGACACCTGGAGCTGTTACTCAGTGCGTTGTGTGCAAAAAGGAGGCGAGGAACTCGAGTATTTACTGCTCCGATGTTTGTATTCTGGCTCATGCACAGGAGGCCCTGACAAAAGATAAACCAGTGCAGAAGACACCCAGGGATGGGGCTAAGGGAGAGGTCTCAAGGGTCATAGTCTTTGAGAGGAAAACAGGAAAATTGTTGACTGGAAGTGATGCCCCTACCAGGGCGAATCTCCAGAATTGGCTAAGAGAGCATCCAACGTTCGAAGCTGTTCGTCCAAACAGTTTGAATACCATTCAAGTTGCTGGAAAGACAATGTCAACTATTCAAGTGACGGCTAAACCAAAATCATCGCCAAGTCCACAGGCCAAGATGGTTTATGCCAAGGTCGCTGGCTCCAAACAGACTATTCTTGCCCCCAGCAAGAAAATAACTGTTGTATCTCCCCACACAAGTCAACCGAAACACGCTCACAAGACCTATCCTGGGGGCAAAGTTACTCAGGTACTCAAGCAGACGACGATAAAAACTATTCCTTTACCACCAAAGTCACCAGTTGTCATTAAACAACAACCCGTTATCAAGAAAACTGAGAGGGCTGATAAGAGTGATAAAATAGAGAAACATGAGAAACATGAGAAGAATGATAAGAGTGAGAAGAATGAGAAGATTGAGAAAACTGAGCAGAAGTCAACGCCGTGGAAGTCGAGGAAATCTGAGACTGAACCGATAAGACTGAACATCAGGAAATCACTTGCTGAGGCGTTGACATCGAGAATCAAAGAGACCGAGGATCTTAAGCTGTCTGATGAGGAGATAACAGAGCTAGCACTAAAAATAGAACTCGAGATGTACAAGTATTTCACTGGGGCTAAGTATAAGGCGAAATACAGGAGTCTTTTGTTTAACATAAAGGACACGAAGAATTTAACTCTGTTCAGGAAAATAGCTGACAGATCGTTGACACCAGATGCTGTTGTCAGGCTGAGTCCTGAGGAGATGGCCAGCCAGGAGTTGGCGGAGTGGAGGGAGAAGGAGACGAAGCACCAGTTGGAGATGATCAAGAAGAACGAGCTAGATCTGATGGCCCAGGCCAAGTCGATTGTCGTGAAGACCCACAAGGGAGAGCAGATTATCGAGAACGATGGGGGACTTGAGGCTGTGGATCCCAAGACCCCGGTGCAGGACATCGTGACAGTTCTCAACAGTGCTGATAACACGTCCTCGGATATTCTAGAGGAGAAGGAGGAGACGTCATCGTCCATGGAGGACTCCAGGGCGAAAAAGTACGAGGATAAAAAGAAGAAGAGAGATAGGGACAGGGAGAGGGAGGGGCACAGGTCTAGGGATAAGGAACACAAGGAGTCGAAGCGAGACAGGAGCTCCAGCAGAAATAGAAGACACAGATCTAGGGATCGCAGCAGAGATCGGAGAAAAAGTAAGGATGGAAAGAGGGATAAAGAGAGGGATAAAGATCGTGAGAAATCGAGGGAGAAGGACAAGTCCAAGGATAAGGACAAGGATCGCTCCAGAAGGAGTAGCAAGAGTAGCAGCAGATCCAAGAGCAGCCACAGAGATAGTCACAAGGATAAGGAGAAGAAACGTGATGTCGAGGATGATAAGAAGAAGCTCGAGGAGAAGAAAAAAGAACCTGCAGTGCCACCGCCAGAAAAACCAATTGAGGATAGACTCTGGAGGCACGTCGAGGAGGAGACAAATACGAATACGTTGGATGGAAATGATTCTGATGTTTCTGACAGGGAGCCTAGCTCCACTGTAACCATTAAAACACCTGACATAAACGAGGATCTCGAGAGGGAGAAGGAAGTGGTGATAAATATCGAACAACCTCTGCCCCCCTGTACAGCCCCTCCTCCCAAGGAAGTTACAAAGAGCCAATCCCCGACGGTATGGCGAGGATTTGTCAATATGGTGGACGTTGCAAAATTCTTCATAACTGCCCAAGAGATCAGTGGACATGCCAAGGATCTCATGGACGACCTCCCAGACAGCATCGACGTCGTAGGTAGAATCGGCCCTGAAACTGTCTGGGATTATATGTCCAAAACGAAGAAGAATGGATCCAAGGAGATCCTCGTGATACGACTTACAGCTGCCAACGATGAGGAGAAAATTCCGTACATCACTCTTTATAGTTATTTGAACAGTAGAAGTCGACTTGGAGTGATTGGAACTATCTCCAGTAACATCAAGGACTTCTACATAATGCCATTTTCAAGCCACAGTCAAATACCTCCGATCCTGAGGCCTCTCATTGGCCCAGGATTCGAGGAAAATAGGCCGCACTTACTCCTGGGTATCATAATTAGAAACAAGAGAAAAAGACCGGCAATTACTCCCATCTCTCAGACACCCCTTAAAATTCCTAAAAAGGACTCTGACAGGAGTTACACACCACCGCCAGGGCACCTTGTTAAGGAGAAGATCTCGTCGTCCTCGGAGAAGTCAGACCACAGCGACAAGTCCCTGGTCACCCAGACAACCCTCAATTCCCTTAATAAAGCACACGTTGGCATGTCCAGGAGTAATCTGATGGATTCAGCAGTGATATCCAAGATTGTTCCAGAATTGTCGTCCAAGCTAGATCTGACCTCATCACCGGGAAAGCCCCAGGAGGATGACGATGACGACGAGCCTTACAGTCCTGGGGGGATTGACGACGAGCCAGAGAACACTCGTGTTAAAATATCGACAAGTCCCCTGTTACCAGCTAAAAATTCCAATGAAATCCAGAGGAAAGTTGAGGAGCTCAATCGAAGGATAGAGGAGCAGAAGCAACAGATTCAAAATATGTCGTCGTCGTTTATCGAGGAGTCAGTGACACTTCCTGGTTTGGGACTGGATCCCCCTGAGGACGAGGCCTATAGTCCGACCGATGCCAGATCTTTCACACCACCACCCCAAACACTTGGTAAATTTCCAATTCTCGATAAAGTTCAGGATATCACCATACCAGCGAATCTCCAGGAGATTCTGGCAAATGTCAAGAGGCAGGAGAGCAGTAAGGTGGATCCATACTTGCCCTCGAAGCCTGGGGCATCCTTCCTGACACCTGTTGTCCCCATGAAGATCGAGAAGATGTACACACCGACAGCCAAGGAGACGAAGAGCACTTTGAGGTCCCTGAGTGATCTGGATCTCATAAAAAAGGCTGAAGAGGAGCTCGCAGCTGTGGCTGCAGCTTCTGGGGCCCTCGATGCATGTGCCACCTCCGCAGCTGGTGCTATGGAGGAGTCAAGCTTTGGTGAGAGTGACACTCTCGAGGGCTTCTCCCCGGCTCTTACAGCCTCTCCATCGAAGACTCGTATCTTCGAACAACCAAAACCACCTGGTCTCGAGGACGAGGACATCCCTGTCTTCCCTGGGTCATCCATCCCTCTCGAGACACCGAGAAATGAACCCACTAAATTTGTACCCAAGAGTGGAGTTGTCTTGAGCATTAAGCGTAAAATTGTTGACGATGGGGGCGCCATATCGCCTCCAAAAACACCGAGGACGAAGTCTAGGTGGGGTCAGGGACCCGCCGACTGAATTATTCGTTATCCATAGATTTTCAGTTATTATTCTTTTTTTTTCAATGCATTTTGTCATTATTTTGGTTGGCTTGCGTGGGGGGAGGAGAGTACCCTCGAGGATTTCGTTGAAATGAAATCAGAGAGAAATACAGTTTTACAGCAAGAAGTGGATTTCGGAGGATATCTCTGGATCTAGAGGAGATGATGAAATTTTTATAGAGTAGTCTTTTGGAGAAGGGACAGAGAGCTGCAAGAAAGGTATTCACAAAAATGTGGATGGCGCTCTCGGGTGCAGAGATATTTTATTGCAAATAATTTTCTTCGCTGATGAATTGTAATTGCTCTTTAGATTCATTGGAACTCTCCTGCCCTTGTCGTCACTCATACCCAGTGCCCGATTCATCTTCATTATCACATTGTTCCCCTCTGTAAATACCAAAGTGACAGGCAACATAATGACATGATCATCCTGTTGCACTCGGGGAGAGCTTTTTCGCCTGTACATAGCCCAAGGAAAAAAAAACGAGAGGATAAATTCCCTTTGTAAAATAATTCGCAAGTTTTAACGTGATTAAATTCCCATGGAGACGATTGGAGATGGAATAAACGTTGAAAGTATTAAATACTTTCAATAAAAACTGGCTGTGTATATACTGGAAACGCATTCTTATTTGAGTTCGTTTCGATCTGCTTGAGGCGTTCTCTGTTTTGGTTATTTTCTTAGTTTCTTTTTTTTTAAGAAAAAAGGAAAATGTAAAAATTTTGAATAAAACGCGAGAGCATTCACGATTGCTGTCCCAGAAGAACAGAAAACTCGCAGGCTCATTCCTTCGAGACAATTTCGTTGTTTGTATCCCATTTTTTTTTTAATTGCTGCTAACAATATGTAGATTAGGACAGTGCAATGCCTGTACTTCCAGGATGAATGAGTGATCGTGGGCACAGCTGTACAGATATCTTCCTGTGGGTATCTTCCAGGAGGTGGGGATAATTGCTGAGGGTAATACGTATGGAAAAATTCAGTTGACAATTTTTTCTGGGAAAATTCTCGTAAATTTGTCGTACAACTGCATAACAATTGCCATAAGCGCAGTAAATTGTTATTCTAGTTGAAATTATACTTGTTTTTCCATCTGAATTGTTTAATTCTCAATAAAATGTCACTCTTTAATTCAATGGATACGATACAAATGGATTCAACATTGGAACAGTAAAATTTGAATCCACCGATTTTTCCATGTAAAAATAATTAAAATGAGATAATTGTTAGGTTTTGTAGAATGTCGATTTTCAAAAATTGGTGCGAAAATTTTCTTTAGCCTCCGCCATAAATCAATGGACAAATCGGTAATGAAGAAAAATTTTGAATTATCTGTTCCGCTATTGAAATTGAATTTTTCAAATTCAGAATTCCATATAATTTCAAAATAATCAAAAGAAATGAAACGGAAGTTTTCGAGTGAGAATTTTTTGCATTGGATTTTTTCATACGTGAATGCTGGCGTTCGCAAGGGAAATCCGAAAATGGAATAAGATTTCTTTGTGGTGCCTGTCAAACGGGGAAGTGATGATTAGTTTTAGATATTGCGCACAAATTGCGCGGCTGATGCTTCGTTATAGGAGGTTTTCGCGAAAAATGGGAATGGGAGGGTAGAAAAATATCGAACACATGGATTCATGTCATTTTGCTGCTGCTCTTCCCGAATTTTCCATTTCGCTTATATGATGCTACTTTGACATCTCTTTTTGTAATGAAATAAATTCAGTAAGTTTATTAGTTTAAGGAACGAAAATGTGAAGATGGTCTTTATGTACAAATTAAGCACATGAATAATTATAAGTGTAACCGAGGGAACTGGCATAACTCAAGTGGTCATGTTTCATAATAAAAACAATATCCTTGATCAATAAATCAATTCTTTCATTTATTTTCATCTGATAATTTTATCTCTAAATAAATTCAACAGCAAAAAGTTAAAATGGAATCCTGCAAATTGCAATTGAATAAAAACTATTGCTTCGACGAGGAAATGCGAAAAAAACTTTTTTACAGAAAATTTTATCAGCTCTAAAAAATTCCTTTGAATTTTTTGTCTCAAGTCGATAGTTTTTGGAATAAATCGCTAATTGTGAGACGTCAAATTTTTATTCTCGGAGAAATAAAGTCCTGTTGAATTTTCCCGCGGTGCGATTTAAACATTGAGCGCCGGAAGTGAATTTTTTAAATATTTCCGGAGGTATCGTGAGGCTCCACTGGCAGCACTGTCATGCCAGCTATTTCCTCTGAAAAATTTCGTCCATTTTTACTGACACGCGCAATGGAGAAAGAGCCATCTTGTCTGAAAAGCCGACGTGGCCGCCGGCTAACCGTTTGTTTAATTCCTCACGATGTTCAGGCGTAAGTAAAATCCAAGAATAATTTAAATTTATTATTTCAGAATAACCAGGATTGATTGGTTTATCGGGATTTACAATTGATTTGCGGATTTTGCGATGGCTATAAAAATCGGGGGTTGCAACCCACGCGGACGCTACGTTTTTCTATTTTCTCACCTTTAGATTGCCAAATATTCTCTATCAGTTTCTAAATTGTTTAAACAACTTCTTGTCAATTATATCTAATTGATTTAATTATCAGCTTTTTCTGCTGCTGTGATTAAAGAAGAGAAAGGAGAGAATTTTTTTTTGGATAATAAATGATAGATTTCAATTTGTTTCTATTGTATCCCCCTATTTTATTGTTGCTTAGGTAGAGTTTAAGAAAAGAATTTCATGATTTTTATATATTGATAATTTTCAGTTCAATGGGCAATTGTTGCATTGGCCCTCTTGAAGAGCAGCTTCTGTACCCCAGAGGTTCCCACCTCCACGAATTCGTATCTGAGTCAGATAGATAGGGCTAGACTGAGACAAGTTGTCGAACCAGGATTCAAACTTACAGATGTAGCTTCAGTATATCATGCTGTCCTGGGGTACAAGCTCCTCAACGAGGCAATTCCAAATCCATCAGTAAGTCCAGTATATCCAAGAAATATTTCTCCACGCACAATAAAATCTGTATTTTTCAATGAAAAAATTCTATTCATTCTGAGAATCATAATTTACATTCAAATAATTTTTATAACAATTTATGAGAAGAAAATTGTTGTGGAAAATAATAAATCCTTGCACACATGATGAAGATTTTACCCATGTTGATTACCATGATTATATGATTAGTCTTTCTGAGGACAATTGAATCGTTTATGCAAATACATTGCTGAATGTACGGTTTTCAATGTGGAATTGTTTTCTAGGACATTTGCAATTATCTAATCAAGAGCTGTGGCACTGGCTTGGACACAGCCCCAGAAAATATCTACTACATCGTGTCAACGTGGCAGGCTCTGGGCTCATGCTCTCCCCTGCCCACTGCCACCTTAACTCAGGTGAGCAATCATTATTTTCTTTAATTTTTATCCAAGCTAACCTAATTAAATGAAAATGAATTACTGTCTTCAGGCATTGAATGCTGTAATAGAGAAAGAGACTTCAACAATTCCTGACCTCTACCACGCGATATCAGCGTACAGCTTCGGACTCTCCCAGAAGTTGTCGGAGTCAACAATCAACAAACTGGTGAAGACACTGCAGGCTGCCCTGAAGAAGGACGATAGCATTGCCAAGTGAGTTGAAAAATGAAAATTTTTATCGCTCTTCTTTTTCTTTTCGGATTCTTTTAGTTTATCTAGGAAAAATGATATTAATTGATGAATATTTTTTTACAGTCTTGGCTACGTGTTTCATATTGCTGCGATTCTGGGACCTGGTGGAAGCTTCGCTTTAGAGAAGATTGAAGATGCGATCGTTCAAGCTGACGAGGTGGACGGGAAATACCTGCAGTTTGAAGGCGGTCTTTCGGTCACTAGTAAGTTATTTTCTACAAAATGTTAGCAATTAATTTTCGGGCTTCCACTACATTTCGTACAAAATTCATATGATGTTTATATCAAACTTTCGTTCTTCTGTAAGAACCTTGGAGATAATTTATGATTCTGATATCAATTGACGAACGATTGCAGCTGTGAAAATTGAAGAAAAGATTATTTAAGAGATTGATGGTTCAAAGGTCTCGTGGTGACTGGAATAGCGAAGCTGTCAGCCTCCCAGAAGAAGCCTCCACCAGTGGCTGCTCATCAGATAGTGAAGATCACGAATTATCTTCTCTCGAGACGTACCGTCCAGACCCCGAAAGGTGTCGTCAAGCTCGTCTCAGCACTGAAACTCCTCGCAAATAATGAATTCAACAAACCTGTATGCATTACCCTGGCTGAGGGTGGAATCATCGTATCTGCTCAGCAGCCACTGGTGAAAGTCAAAGTTTCTGACATCATGGGGAATCCTCTGGTGATCGTTCCTACAGTAGTAGCCACCTCAGCTACTAGAGTTGGGGATGATGTCGTGGTGGTCAGCAAAGAAGCCTTCAAGCCCTCCCCTAAAGACAAGTGAGTAATCCAGTAAAAATAATATCCATGAATTTCCATTTCTGGCCCAATTATTTGCTGACTTTACGTTGTCAATCGAAAGCCAGTTATACGCTTGGGGTAAATCAACTTTTGGATCTAGCTTTTTAGTGCCATTATCTAATAATGTCAACCACTGGGTCCACCAGACATTCAATAAATTTCCGACAGACCCACGAGAATCTAAACTAATATTTTGAATTTTCCCCACGTGCAGGACTCTATTCACCATGAATTTCATGGATATCAAGCCTCAACGTGGATTCTACAAAATCCAGGTGTCAGCTGGAAGTGTCAGCAATACAGTGACTGTCAAGGTATTGTCAGAGGTGAAGGTGGATTATTTGGAAATTGGAACTGGCGATGCAGACCAGACAACACAACCGAAGCTAGTAAAGTGAGTTGACGATATTTATCAATTTTTTCAATATTTTTGAAATCAACATGAAAAATTAACAATCAGAAGACAAAAGAGACCTTTAACCCTCTCTCCTGCCATTTAAGTTAATCACTTTAACCTCCCAGGATCGCCCACCCCAACAAGCTGGGTCACAGGATCGAGGCTGACTCCCAGCAGAAGCTTGTGATGCGATTTTTACTGCGTGATGCTGCTAATGACAAGCCCATTCGGGTGCACCAGGCGTTCGTCCGGCTGTCAGCAGTGGAATCATCAGGAAATGACAAGCATCTTCGGGAGGTGATTTTTGTGGCTGAACCCGATCCCACTAATGTCTACAAATTTGATATGCCGGTTGGAAGTGCAGCGCAGACCTTCGGCCACCAGCGTGGAGACTACAATATTGAATTGATCGTTGGAGATGCCATCATAAGCAATCCTTTCCAGTGGAACGTGGCTGTCGTTGGTCTGAAATTTCCTGAACGCACTGGCACTGATGCTGCGATCACTGACAAAACTCAGGGGAATAAATATCAGGCGATTACTTACACTCCAAAACCAGAGATAAAGGTACTCGTCAGATATTTTTAAATACTGTAGTATTTTGTTTAAATACACCTGGAAAAAGCCCATAGGATTCGAAGATCCAGAATTTTTTATTTAATTTTATTATTCAATTTTTGATTAAGAAACAAGTACGTAAGTTCCAGTGCTCGTTAGTGACATTAGTTCTTCGTATTTCTGTCACCTCCAAACCATTGGAAAATTAAAGGCTCTTATGAAAATTTCGTACTTTCGATGTGTCAATTCGAAAAGCTTCCGATTTAGAGCCAACAACTGTTGTATTTCATTCGAGGAGTTTTGGTTTATTTACTTTCGTTTAAATTACAGCATATGTTCCGAGAACCTGAGAAGAGACCTCCAGTATTCGTGTCAAATCTCTTCACTGGACTCTGCCTGGTGCCTGTGCTTATCCTCTTTGGACTCTGGGCTAAACTCGGCGTCAACCTATCCAAATTTCCATTTTCTCTCAGTGCTATTGTATTCCATCTGGGACTGGGCGGTGAGCATTCAATTAATTTTTCCTCCATATTTCAGGCATTTTATTTGTTTCACTCTACATTCCCACAGTTGGTATTAAAATATAATAATGTAATGGGATTTTTGGAGAGTAATTGCTGTGCCTGTGGATGAATCAGCGGAATTAAATGATAATTAAGGATGATCGGAGGTTTTTAATTAACAAATCTTGGGAAAAATGACGAAAAAAATGGAAATAAAAATCCCAAACAATTCACAATTTCAAAAATAATATTTCCGAGGCTATCAATACTTAATTGAAACGGGAAAAACTATTCACAGCGAAATGAATGGACACTTTCTCCACAAAATGGAGATCATGCGTTAGTTAACGAGCCACGAAGGACAGGCATTTATGTTCAACCACTTTACCTGAATTCCACACCTTAATACTCGTCAATATTCTCATCACACCTTCCTAGTCTCATAGTTCTCAGTCTTTGTCAATGATGAAATAATTATCATGCCGTAAATCTCCAAAATCACCAGTCGGAATTTGAAACAACACTGTAAAGATCACACGTGGGTCATAAATTTCTCGTCATTATTTCGGTTGTTACGTCATCCCGGCATTTCAAAAAAATCATCGGCGCTCGATGCTTGACAGACAATTTTCACTCCCACGAATTGTTTTGTTTTCAATCGAGCGTAAATAAACTAATGTGAATTTTTCACAGTTGTGACTCGATTAATTTGTCGCAGCTGTAGCCCGATTTTCACAACATTCCATTCTACGATGTATAAATAAATTTAATTGGCATTTGAATGGGAATTTGATTGATTTAATCTGGAATTACAGGAATTTAAATGATCGCGAATGATAAAATAATAGAGTCATAAATTCATCATTCATGTAATTAAAAATGTTTCAGGTATTTTCGTGCTGTTTGGTATTTTCTGGCTGAAGCTCAACATGTTCGTGACCCTTCGCTACCTTCTGGGTCTTGGAGTCGTGACATTCCTCGCTGGCAGTAAACTCCTCTCTCAAATTGCACATGGCCAGAAATTATCGCGCTAATTCTCGACATATATAAATTAGCATGAGATGTATATAAGACGTGATTAAAAATCCGTCAACATTTTCATTCCCACATTTTTCTCATATTTTATTAAATATACACGATACAAGTGATGAAATTACGATTGTCCATTTGTACAGAATTTGAATAAAAAATAAATTATCAAAAATGTATTAAATTTGTACCTTTCAGGGCTGATTTAATGATGAGTCAATGAGAAAAACAAACACATTCCTGGATCAATTAATGTTTCACATATTCTCAAAGAAGTACAAATTTTGGAATTACGATCGTATTTACATAGAATTTGAATAAAAATACAATTCACGTCAAAAATTTCCGGTGACGAATAATTTTTACCGGGAATTTTTCATTGATTTATCTCGTTACACCCGATGACTCAGCGGAGTTTCGAAACAGAACTTCAAATACACCGAAAGCAATACAAATGATGAAACAACGGTTATATCATTTCTAAAGGAAACAAGAAAAGATAAAAAAACCGATGATAACTGACAAATGTGTATCGAAGACTTTGTATTTTCAGATTCGATAAACTCAATAGCAGCGCCCAATAATCCTTGATTAGCACCAATTAACCAATTCATTGGGATCCAATTGTGTCCCCTGGATTCTCTTCTTAACGAGGCTCTTCAAGTGCTCCTTCTCCTCGTTGAGAATTTTCCTGTCATCCCTGAGACCTCTCACCTCGATCTCCACTTCTCCAACTCGTCGCCAAAAATACTCGAAACCAGTAACCTGTTGAAATGATTAATGTAAAACCACAAATCGCTAGTTCCACGAAGTTCTCACTGGATCCCGTTGAACAGGAAGTGCCCTGTCCTCGAACTTTCTACACATGCGAACATAAGCCAGAACACTCTGTGCTTTCTTCGTCAGATTCTTCAGGCTCTCCGTTGTGGTGTTGTACTCCTTGGTCAGGTGCATCATCTGAATTTTATCACCAGTCTGTTCTGGAAGTAACGAAATAACAGATAATTCGAAATTACTCGGGGAACTGGAATTTTCTCACCATTCATGAATCGCTCTTTCATCGACGCATAAGCATCTCGAGACATTTTCCTCTCGACATTGATGTGAACAGCCGTGTCTTTGCTACTGTCCTCCAGCTTCTTGATCTTCTCCTGATACTTGCGAATTGTCTCGTACAATTCTCCTGTTTCCGTTAATTGCTCAGTTATTTTTTCCCTGTCCTTCGCGTCTTTCGCTTTCAAGCACTCATAAGATACTCGTCGCTCATTTGTATCTTAAAATCAACAGAAATAACAATTCGCCTAATTATGTAATTAATTCCAGTGAATTAACGCGATTAGTGATTGATTTATTGATAATTAGATGAATATTTAAAAGGTCTAATTATGACTGATTTAATTTGCAGAATATTTAGAATTTATTGTACTATAAATAAAAATATGATTCACAGAAGTATTTTTTCAGTATGAAGAAATGATTAATTCAATTGAAATCGTTGAAATTCCGAAAGATAAATGAGAAATGACAGGATATTTATTTTTTTTAACTCATTTCTATTTTTATCTTGTGTCCATTTTCAATGAAATTCAATCCTACGTATTTCCCACCGATAAACTTGTTTTTCTAAACTCCAAATATTTCTACCATTTGAATAATTAGTTACGAGAGAATCCACAGCGTTCCAATAATATCTGATGCTATTCTCTATATCGATTAATGCCATCTTCGTCGAGTGATTTCCGTCCTCTCGTAAATTATCGAGTTTATCTGAGAGAAAAAAATAATTTTAATATTAAAAGCCCTTCGGGAATGGTTTAACGAAAAATCGTTACACGCGGTTTCGCTTTGAAGTCCCTCCAAAAGCTCATCGGTCATTTTTCCCTCTCGATTTATTAATGACTGCAAAAAACCCTCGCTCTCGTCATTTATCCACAGGATCCTCTCAACATCAGTCTCGCTCTCTTCGAGTATCTCGTCGACATATTGTTTATAATTATTATATCCGGTTGTTGATCTCTCGTTGTACAGATCTTCCAGTCGATTTATTACGGTCATGTGACCACTGATATTTCTCTTGTATTGGGCTTCAGCCTCTGTTAATCCCTCCAGGAGGGAATGACCTCTGGAATAATTCACAAATCATGATTTATTTATTGTCTAATTATTATCCACCGTTTTTATTTCTCCATCAATTAGTTTATTACACAATAATTCCTCGAGAAATTCAATTCATGTCAGAAATTCATGGTGATATTCTCGGAAAATTAAATCATGAATCGTCACCTCGGTTTTTAAATATTTATTTATGCAAATATTATTGAGAATTGAGAAATTGGGTCATTACATTTTTTTATGAAAACATCAATTTTTTTCTAATTACAATTATAATTATATAAGAATTATAACAATCATTATAGTAATAATAATAATTATTGTTATTACAGGATTAAAAAAATGGTTTTTAATAAAAAAATTTTCATGATAAAACTTTAAATTTTTGGATTAAAACATTTGTGAAAAATTTGATTTGAGATATTGAATAATTCGATGGGTCATCTAGATATATTTAGATTTTTGGTGTTACTATTGGAAGAAATGATACGAAATATTGACGGACCTGTAATTCTGAATGTCAAGGGTGCGATCAAATATGTTCCTGCTGACCTCGACGTCTTCTTTCATAATGGGGATCTTGATTTCCGCCATTATTTTAATCCAGGAACGCCGTAGACTCTCATTATTTCGATTGGCGATTTTTCTCTCTCGTTTGAGTGCTTCATGCCTCAGAAATGCTTTGCGCTCTTCAATGGCAGCCAATTTTTTTCCCTTGCTCTTCTTCTTCGATTGGTCACCAACAGGTTCCATGGTCTTGCGGGTTTGTCTGCCGGTTCTCACGTCTACCAATTGGTTACGCAATCCTTGGAATCTTCGAGTGTTGACAATTGATTTCTGGTTTTCGAGAGGGCCTTGTTATTTCATCCTCTTGGATCACTTCAGACAGCGAAGATGAGGGATAATCTGGAAATTTTCAGCAGAAATTTCCACTATTGCCACACTAATCTATTTAATTTATCATCATAATTTATCCAATAATTATAATTTATAGTTCCATTCTATTTTCATCCTTTTGCCATGAATTTTTCTTAGATAAAGAATACAATTTCATTCGGAAGTAATTCACTATAGGAGTTGTTGATTTTGAGATTAAATTTTGGAATTTTAACTGGAAATTTGGGAGCTACGGATAATTATAAAAATTGTAAATTTGTCTTCTCTCAGTTTACCACTTCTCTACTGAATTGTTTAAACTCCTGGAAATCTTCAGTTCTCCATGAAATCGCTGTTTACAATTCTGAAATTCATAACAGCCTCGGAAAATAGTTTTTACGATTGAAAATTGATCGTTTATAAACCATTCACATAAGACGATCGTAATCCCCAACAATTTAAATTTTTTAACTATTCACGGATAGTACCCCTGCAAAGTGGACTTTCTAATTTATTAAAATATCCTCTAAACGGTTAAAAAACGGAATTAAACCCTAAAATTTTAGATAATAACATAATTGCAAAGTGACTGGAAAACTAGAGTAAAAATTCCCACTTTACTGAACTCGTAATATTATCCGTCGCTAGTGGAAAATTTTCCCGTGAATTTCCCTAAAATATTTCTCATCACCAAGAGTTCAGACTAGTCTCCACCACTGGTACCAAGGAATCCACCGAATTCTTCAGGTTCTCCTGCTGACGTCAAATATAAACTCGAATATTTCCGGAGAAAATACCAAAAAGGGCTAATAGGCATTAGCATTTTGTTTTCCAGTTGGCATGGGAATTTATATCCGCACCAGCTCAAAATTCCATGAATCTCTCCCTGGAGGCAGGAGCAACGAGGGTTTCCCCAGAACAATCTCCGGGGTTCAAGGTCGTTGGGTTCTGAAACGTGGAGTTTGAAAAAAATATGAATGGACCACCCGAGAGAAGAATCCACAGATTTCCAGCAACAGGATGACCTTCATGATGGCCTCGGGTGTCTCCTCCAAGAGTACGAGGTGGGGAGTGAGATAGTCTTATCCTATAAAAGTCCTCCCCACATTTCAATATTCGTCATTCCTCATCACATTCAGAGGTTCGTATCCATCTTATCCACCCCAGTACCTTCTACATCACGTGGTAATTGCGTAATCCAAGTGCTTGAGGGATTTGTGGTGAAATTTATTGGAATTTATCGTGTCTCTTTGATTATTGAAATCAATTATTCCAAGGGAATTCAATGGGTTCATTGAAATTCTATTCAGACATCTCACGTTGAATTTAGTTCAAGCCCTTCAGCAAAATTAGCACGTGTTCTACTGAGTGAAAGTGAACATCTCTGAAACAAATTGTAATAGTGGATCATTTATTTATTGTCTGCTCGTTGTTTCATTCATTTTGAGAATTCGCATCTTCTGATTATATCGGTTTACTGTGCGATAGCACGTGGGGAAAATCAAATTTTTTAATTATCTTTTATTGGAAATTAGATTTTAGTCTTTTATGAATCTTCTCTTCATTTTCTGCTGCGTTTTTATTCCTTTCTAACGGGGAAAATTCATTTTTAAACATTAAAAAATAATGCGCTCGATATTTTATAAAAAAATCGTTATTGTAAAATTTTTTTTTACATTTTTATTGTAAAATTCCACTGACTGCTCTCAATCTCTCGATGACCACATAATTAATTAGGGATGTAATGAATTAATTATATTTTCAATTCTATTAATTATATCTTTTAATTCTCAATTTTGAATTCTATTTCTCCAAAACCAAAAGGGAAATAGAAAAATTGAGCTTAAGCCGTCGATTGATGGATAAATAAACAGAGAATTGCGTAATTGGATTTTTAATTAATTAATTAATTCATTGGATAGAGAAAAATGAAGTTTCTCAGCCTCGCCCTGCTGGTGTGCGCCATTTTGGCAGCGGCTTATGCCGAGGCAGAGCCCTCAGACCTCACAGCAGAGCCCTCCATCCAGGTCCTCACCAGGAGCAAGCGAGCACCTATCCTGAAGAAGGCTCTCATCTTCGGAGCTGGTGCTCTTCTAGGAAAGAAAGCCCTCCTTGGGGCTGGACTACTTGGTGCTGGATTAGGCGGATTAGGTGCCGCCGCTTACTCAGCCAAATCGTGAGTCCACGAAAAAAAAAATCATTTCCTCAGTTTTCAATCGATAATTCAAAATTGACCACCGATATCAAAATTGTTGTTATTACCTTTTTTGTGGGTCTTATTGAGAGCTATGAAAAAGGTTCTCATGACTATTTCGAGATTTTGCGTACATCCGGTGATATTTGTCCTCTTACCACTTCCTTACTGCACTCACTTTTCCCGATTTATTCAAGAATTCTCAAGATTTCATTTATTATTTCATTCTCTCCCAATTTCAAGTCAAGCAATTAATCTGAGATTATAGAATTGTAAGCAAGGGTATAAATTGCATAAATAATTAATTCAACAAGTAATCAATCACTACTGGAGAAAATGGAACTGAAAATAAAGTCTTTACGATTATTTATCGCGGAATTCGTTAAATTTATTTTCATTGTTCACCGTGACCCGCATTTCGAAAGTCAATTTCCAATTCAATTTGATAATTAATAAATTGAAATTGAAAGGGAAATTGTTAATTGCGGCTGGAGTTGTAATTATTGAGTACTTGTTTACGCAATTTGTTATTTTTTTTGTCATTTTCTAGACGGGGATATGGAGGGTATGGGGGATATGGAGGACAAGGAGGATATGGGGGATATGGAGGATATGGAGGACAAGGAGGATATGGGGGATATGCAGGATATGGAGGACAAGGAGGATATGGGGGATATGGAGGACAAGGAGGATATGGAGGACAAGGAGGATATGGAGGACATGGACATGGTGGCAGCTTTGGCATCTATGGTGGCACCTACGGGGGTACCTATGGACCCGATCCTAACTATGTATCAGCCTGGCACCAGAAGTCAGTATAACAAATTCCCCAAAAATTATTTAAACAAAAAAATCACGAACATTCAATAAAATCCTAGAAAAATCGCTCGCCCCAGGAAAGACTTCCACTCGAACGTTCCACCGTTTCGAAATATCGATAGATCGCAAAAACTATCGACTTTAGCAGCAACGACGATAAGACCTTTTTTAAAGAAAATCTGATTGTCTACAAAAAAGTTCTCCATCTTTTTCCTTCTGAAATCGATAGTTAACGAGATAAATCGATTATTGAGAGAGTGCATTACTTCACCTAAATGATGAATTTTTTATTCTATTGTTTATATCGATTTTAATGATTTATTATTGATTTGTTTCAGATGGTGATGGAACTAGCAACCAAAGTAGAGTTAACTCGATAATCAGATGGTCATCAGTATCCGGAGGTGGACTTCCGGTTCACGTGGAGTAAATTATCAAATGAAATCAATGTCAAAGACGTAATAAATTAACAATTTTTACTCTGCTGCAGCCTAATTTCTTCATTTCCGTTTTACGACTATTCAAACATTTGCTGAAGAAATTACTGCTTCAGATAGCTCAAAAAAAATCAAATCTAATGAGTTCCGGGTAGATGAGTAGATCACGATGAATTATTGATATGTTCCATTCTGTTGCAAAGAAAAAATTTATTTACTTATTCTTGTAACGAAAAAATGATTTTTTAATTTGATCTTGTCCGGAAATAACAAAAAATATGAATCAATAAAATGAATTTATAATATTTAAATAATATTATGTTAATATTATTATAAAATGGAATAATTATAATATTGTATAGATAATAGAATAATATATTAGTATACATTTCGCGGTTTTTTAGGAAAGAATATAACAATAAAATAGAAAATGGGGTGCGACAATAAACAATTTTCACTTTCTGTCCCGTTGAGTCACTCCGCAATCAATGAACTCGTTTTCTTCAAAAGATCCGTCATGACGTGCCGTTCCGTAGACATTGTTCAGACTCGTGAACAGAATAAATAAAAAAAAATCGTGTACAACACAGGGGAAACTCAGAGACCCCGGGATTATTAAAGTCCTTTCAATATGGGGAATGCGTGCACACAAATAATTTACGTGACTCTCGCAACTGCATATTTCTTCCTCATTTTTTCCCTCAATTCGGGAATTTCTTCGCGAGAAATGAGTGAAGAAAATTCAGTAAAAAAGTGCTTTCTCTCGAAATTATTGGGAAATTATTGGGAAATTATTGGGACTTGTGGTGGACCGTTAATTGTGATTTTGTTCAAACGAAAAATTAAGGCCCGGATGGACTGTCTGGAAAAGATAATTTACTCCAAAATTGGGACTTCTAATTACTCTGTCAATTAATCGTTTTTTCCGATAATTGTTAGCTAGCGGCCTAGTTGTTGACAATCGCTAGAACGCTAGCTAACACACGGAGAGAAATATTTAGTAAAAATTACGGAACTTTCAGTTTACTTACCGATTACGGAGTTGATTCGAAAAATTTAAGTGACGGTATGATTATTTTTCACCGATAATTCAGATAAAAATTATGGAACAGCGCGGAAAAATTGCGTGACTTTAGATAAAAATTACGTGACAGTTCCGTAAAATTTCCGACAACCACATTTCGCTCCAGAATTACGGAAAATACACGTAATTTTTATTGAATATTTCTCTCAGTGCAATTATTGAAAAAAAAGATTAATTGCCAAAGTAATTAGGAATCCGAATTTCGGAGGAAATTATCTTTTCTAGATAATCCACCCGAGCCTTAAGAGCTATTGTCTAAATTTTAAATTTTAATTTGATTTGATTTTTTTTTAGTAGATTTTTCGGGAATTGGACAGATCGAAATTATTGGTTTGATAGATGATTTGTTTAGGGGTAATGAGCAATTAATGGGGATGAAATTTTTTGAGTAATTTCTGTACTCGCGAGTTCCATAATTTTTAGTGAGCATTTCTATTACTGTTGGGTCATACCTCATTGTGTAACTGAGACACGTCTTCGGGGGACGACGCGGAATCATAATCGAATTGTATCGGATTGTCGCAATTTCTGTGATTATCGATTTTTCTGGAGGTAAAAGGTGTGGGTAGGGGTACGATGGGTGAAAAATCGGGGTATAAAATCGAACGTCAGATAAACTCGATCGACCAGAAGCAAGTGACAAGTGCAAGTACAAGGTGACTTTTAACTAATTTACTGCAATCACATTGGAATTACCAAAGTAAGACCAAGTCATAAATGTCGAATAATTAAAGAAATCGCTATAATTTTTAATCGCTAAATTTTCCAATTCATTTGCTGACGAGAATTTTCTTTCAATTTTGATCAATTCAATTCAATTCCCAGAATTAAACGACAATTTTTCGCGCGTTGCGTTAAAAGTAGAGTAAAATGGCAGTTTTATAACGGGGTAACAAAATAATTGAATAGTTACCCGGCGTTTTCCGCCATTTTATCCACCGCCTTCGTAAGAATTAAAATGGCGGAAAAATCAGGCCCTTCAGTGCAATTATATCGCGATTTATTTTCACCACAAAAGCGCGTCTTCATAATAATGACAATAATGATTGATGATTAATGACTTTAAAATAAATATTAATTAAATTTTATGAACTTTTATCACAAATATATTTACAAAATAATAATAATCGATCTCCGATCCGTAAAAGAATTTTGTTCATTAATTAAATGAAAATATAAAGAATTAATAAAATTAATAATATTCCTTAATTTGTTATGAATATTCATTAAGAATTGAGGAATAATTAACGTAATCCGCTAGGGGAAACTCATTTTTCAGTTTTTTATGAATTAAATGCAGCGTAAAAATTACGATAAACCGGAAGACCGGACTCACATCCGGTTCGCCGAAGTCCCGAGAATGGACTTCGCGAAAGGAAACTCGTCTTCTCGAGTAGTACATCCACTTTTACCTAGATGCATGCACACAAGAAAATGGAAACTCGTACCTATTTTCGTCGAATTGCTTTCCCTATCCCTCAGCTTTCTCCGGATTAATTTGGGAATCCCCAGATTTTGGCAAAGGGTTTACAACTTATTTAAGCAATAATTACTGGAGTTATTTCCAACAATTAGAATGGGAATCAATAAAGAAAAAAAACCTGATTAATCAATTTGCGAGTGGACATTTGGAGATAATTGAAAGATTTTTAATTGAAATCTTCAGAATAATTTGCGGATTGATTTCGTAATCACTTGGTGATTTTTTATTTTTCTTTAGATGAATGGCTGGACGATTTTTGCAATAGCCTGTGTGTGTTTCATCGGGGGATCCTTGGGGCAGACGAGCAGCGAACTTGAAGAATCTTTTGGGAATACGAACCTCGATGATGGGATTGATGTTCACACCAGGAGCAAACGAACACTTTTGCTGAAGAAGAAGATTATCGGGGCAGGACTCCTGGGACTGGGGCTCGGTGTGGCCAAAGGGTAATTTTCCACACTGAAAACAATATTTTAGAGAATTATTTTTACGGTTGTTCTTTAATTCATTCGTGATCAGGTACAAACTGGGATATCACCACTCCCCGGAAGTTCACCACGTCTATCTAGCACCACCTCCACCACCAGTGAGGTACGTGGAGTACGTCGACAAGCCAGTGTACATCGAGAGGATTGTGGAAAAACCTGTCTTCAAATCCCATGCTGATTATGATCATCAGGCGTGGTCATCACCTGAACCATCGTCTACTTACGGGTACGATTTTTCAATTCCTCTTTAATTCAGAATTAATCCATTCGTCAATTAAATTTCTGAGTTTATTCAGAAAGAAAAATTGTTTATGTTCATTAAATCTCATTAAAAAAATGTCAGTAGGAAAGAATTTGAGAAAAAGTTCAGGAAGAACAAAAAGTTGCGAACAATTCTTCAAAAAATCTGTAGAACTTGAAATTTACAGTTCAAGATGATAAATTGCCTTGATGTACATTGAAATTATTTAAAAAAATATTAGCAAAAGAGAATTTACCAGAAAGTTTAGAAGACAGTTTTTTAAAGGATCGTCTACACCCATATATAGCCAACACTAACGTTTTTTTTCATTTTTTTGAACATTTGTTTGAGTTTTTTTTAACTTTTAAAAAGCGTGAAAATTATTACACCACCACAAAACTTTGTTAGCCATTAAATAATCCATTAAATTCCATCCATTAAATAATCCATTAAATTCCATCCATTAAATTCCATCCATCAAATTCCACCCATCCATTTAATAATAATAATAACAATAATGTTATTTAATAATAACAAAACGTAAAAACTTTATGTTTTTTCACATCAATCCCATCAATAATTTTCAAAAAAAAAAAAATCAAAAAACGTACATTCTGCCTCTATATGTGTCTGGCACATCCTCAATTCGGATGTATTTTATTTTCTCTCTGAAAAATATAATTTCCTTTGGTTTCAGGGCCTGGTGAACCAATTGTTAATCGCCTCATCTTGTCTTTGTTATTTCTGTTGAGTCGAGCTGTTAATTTTCATTGAATAAAAAATAAAATAAAAATTTTATACATTACATTCTGAAATACGAATTATTTTCTCCCCTAAAATAATAATTCCCCAGGAATTAAATAATAAATTGTAGATTGACATGAAATTCAGTTGAAAATAATGATTGAAGGTGAATTATTTAATTTTTGTTTAGAGCTATAAAAAATGATTAGTACAGAAATAATCACATGCTTCTTTTCGCACTAGAGTAATTATGATATCACAGCGAAATGTTATGCAAATGAAAACACTTGCCTCATTCATTGGCGATAGCTAAGTGTTAACGTCAACGTGTCGATGAGAAAGTGAAAATTCTATCGGTTAAAAAAACCATAACACACAGTACAAGATAAATTTTTTTATTATTACCTCAAGAGCATCCTTAACACTTTAATAAATTTCACTTAATCGTACTGTAAATGCTAAATCCCAGGAGATACAGATCTAGATCATGAGAGAATCTCAACTCCAGTTAAATATTCGTTATACTATGCTACAGTGTTTTTTTTTTTAATTTTTTATTTTATTCTCTCGGTAACATTAAACATTTATCGGCACAAAGATTTGTCCGAATGTATACTAATAACACAGACGGGTTATAAAAACTGAGTATATACTCTCACGGGCGACAAAACCCACTGGAATGATTCCAATTAATTCCCAGCTTTTTGGATATTTTCATAAAAACCTTAACTAATTAACGACTTAATTGTCGTTTATATTATTCAATGGGAGATAAAAGAAAGTCTTGTATCAAAAAATTGATAAAGTTCCACTAGAAAGAAAGAAATTTCTATAGAAATTTTTATATTATAATATTGATAATAATTATTACTAATTAATAATAATAATAATTATTACTAATTAATAATAATAATTATTATTATTATTGTTATACAGTTTGGATTGATGATCTAAAGACCGTGGGTTCAAGGTTTTTCGATGTTTTCATGGGTGATAATTTTGCAATTATGATTTTTTCCGTTTTGATCAGGAAAATCAGGAAAATTTGGAAATAAAATTTGTGATTCGACTTTGGAATTATTTTCTCTCGTCTTCGCACTGGGATTTTTGTCGAGAATTCTTCTCATGAAGAATGCGCAAAGAAATTTCAAAGTCTTCAGCGAATGCTTCGCGATTTCCATTGGATTTTCTCGTCCTTATTTGAGAGCTAAAAAATCGATGACTTCAACGATGCAAAAGGTTCAACACAAAACGTACATATTTATTTTATTCATTTGTTGATACTACGAGATTAACAAGCTCACTTTAGTCTCATTTAATTATTGATTACTCCTCATTAATTCCGATCTCGATATTTGATTAATTTTTCAACTCGAGATAATTATACAAACGGAAATGTAAATGGTACAAATTAAAAAATTAATAAATAAGTACAAATTTCGATGTTCAACATAAATAGCTAAACGAATAAATAGATGAATAAATGAATACATGAATAAGTAAATAAGTAAGTTATGCCTCTAGATATCGAATGTATGTAAATCCGGACGGAGGAAAAAGTCGGGGGAAAAATCCTCGCTGCAATTTATATAATCGTGGGGAGTCCTTTTTTATTTAGATATTCTATAATACAATTTCCCACGATTTTCCAGTGATTTTTATTCAACTTTTCTCTCCGTGGACGAATAATTGACTGAATTTTCCGAGTTCCACAAAATGTGCTGCAACAAATATCAATAATTGCGGGGTGAAACGATAAACAACGAAAATTCGTACATTTACGTATAATACACAGGTACCTATAACACGAACCGTTCAACAACATGTAAATATTTAAAAATTTATTATTAACCATGACGGTGGTATCGACCCACCAATTATCGTCACATTGTTTGATTATTTTTCGTTTATTTCTTATCCCTCGTGGAATTTACATTCGATTGTCATCCAAAAAATTAATCGATTATTACTGTGACGAATACGATTAGTCAAACTTCAATTACGGCTATTATATATTTATATTTCTTCACTGCAGTGTCGGGAATAATTGAGAATGTTTATTCAAACTTCACACAATTCTTATTTTTTAACTATTTAAATAATAGAATTGCAACCGATGGACTGCAGTTAATTATTAAAAACGACAATTACTGAGAAACATTTGTTCATTCTCTTTCATTGGAAATTCATTTTCCTTGGGAGGAAACTCCGAAATTCTCCAGATATTCCACCGTATATTATAAACAATTGATTAATTGAGAAGTGGATAAACATTCTTAATTAGGTCTGACCATTCGCCACGAACGAAAAGAGAAATGAGGCGTGTGTAAATTTCAGGCTTTTAAATTCATTCTTTAACCCTTAAAGCTATCGAATTATCACTCAGTCAAATACAGAATAAAAATTATAACATAAATTTTCTAATACACACGCAAAAATTCAGGAAAAATCCAACGCTTAACAGAAATTCTATCTAATTTCTGTTTGAATTTTCCTTTTTTAATAAATATTCCCTTGGCATTTTTTCCCCAAAATATTCTTACACGAAAAAGAAAAAAAGAAATCGAAAATAAAAAATCAACAGCTATCCAAAAAATCCACAAAAATCCTTCACAAAAATTAAATCATCCGAGAAAAATTCCTGAAATTTCGACAAAAATCCAAAAAAATTTTTATAGTTAAACAAAAATTATTAGAATTTCCAGAGAATGCGTTCGGTTTTTCAGCTGAATTTTCCCTATACATTCTCTGAAATAAAAATTCCGGTTATCCTCAATTTTCCAGTTCAATCAGTACCCCGAGTACATTGAAAGGGACGAAGGAACATTTAGGCCGATAGAAAATTCTATTTACAAAACCGCAATGCTGATAATGGGATCGTACAAAGTAGTTGTCAAGGGAATAGCAACAATTCCCATTCGCAAATCGACGGATTTATTAACGAGCCAATCAAAATAACGATTTCCATTTTAATTATTAAAACTCGTTCAACACGACTGACCAGCAGTGACAATCCGGCAAGTTCTATCAATTCATTGGGCAATACTGGTATCTATTTCGGGGCATTCCACTCCTGTAACGACACATTAATATGATAAATCGGTGAGAGGGATGAAAGACATGTAACGCATGTCTGGAAAAACACGACGTCTTTGGGGGGGGGGGGGGGGGGGGAGGTAGTTTGGCAAGTGGCAAAGTGATATATTTGAAAAGTAGCTCTGCCCCCGGATTGCAAAATTTTTATTATTAATTGAACTAGTTTTTAAAATTTCTCCAATTCTCCACTAAATCCTGTACGTTGAACATTTGGAAAAAATATCTCGTCAATATTGTCCGAATTAAATAGCCTGAAATCCTTTTTTTTTTCCTTTACATAAATAATTATACACAACTGGAAAATCGGAGAAATTTTCATCTTTTTTCATGTTTTTTTTTAAATTTATTTGAAACTCGATAGAGATAATTAAATCGAGGGGAAAATCGAGTGAGGTTTTAGTTTAATGAGGGTAGAGCTACTTTAATCCATGAAAATATTTTTTACTGCATTCTCCTGTGTGAAGATCCCAACCAGAGTTATGGAAATTTTCTGGGAGACCGCCGACGAATGCCAATATCTCGAGATAGATTAATCAGAGAGAGATGAATTCTAGATCATTCTCTCGGCCATGAAATTCCCGACATTTTTCATCCGGATTATTTCGACGAGACTTTAATATATCTCGAGATATATCGATATCACAATTTTTTCAACAGCCCTTAATCCATTTTATTTTACTCAGTAAACGTTAGGATGGACCACAGCATACGTTGGACATAAAAATAATTACAATTAACTGAAAATGGCTCTAGGATGTACTTACTCAAACAAAAAATTCCGGTGAATAACTTCGGACACCATTATTGTAATTATAGTAATTATTGCAATTACTAGGGTAATATGACAGACGCGCGCGGAATGCACTCTATATTGAGAACCATTTTGATTATCTGTGATATACTCGGTAATCTTCACCCAAAAATATTAATCTATTGGAGCAATCCTGTGGCGTGATATTGAATAATTACTGAACATTCTTATTTTTTCATTTTAACTGTCTAATTTGTATTTTTTCCGTCACCTTTTATAATTTTCATATATTTTTCCAAAGCGGAAGTTTTCTCATTGAAGTTTGTCGCGCGGACATTGAAATAAATTAGTGTTTCAAAAGTGGTTTGCATGAAAAATACGCATCAGACCTCAATGAGAGCTTATCGTTTGAAATCTCTTCTTTTGAGCTTGAAGGTAGAATACAATATTTGATCAGTTTCGTTTTGAATGACAAAAATGACAGTATATATCCTTAAGGTTGTTGTCGCGCGACAGTCTCTATAAAAAGTTTATTCGCTGTAAAACGGGCCAGTTTAGAACACAATCTTTTGACGGTATATAGTCTCACTTGATTGATTGCATTGTGCATGAATAGTTACAGCATAACTATATATTTACCATTTTAACTATTTTAAATTATATAAATTGATGAATTTTCGATAATTATATTGCGTAAACCAAACGGTCAATCGATTTGATTTTTTGTTCTGCATTTCCTCCCACGATGTGTATTCCAATGTTTTTTTTTATTTCTCAAACTGTCGAGCCGTTGATTTAAAAAAAATTCTAATCGGTGAAACTCCATTTAAACACGTGTTAAATCACTCGAATTTCAAAAATTTATATCTCAAGTTCAAAACGGTCAACTGCAAACGGAAAGGGCTCATTTTGGAGCTATTTTTTCAACCTATTCACCATAAAGGTTTAAACGAAAACTGTCGAAAAAAAATTCTGCGCGACAACAACCTTAACACAGAGTGGATGCGACACATTGTAATCATGTTCAATCGTTCATAGTCTAATACAGACTGAAAATAGGCGAATGAGAGCAGTATCGTTGGGAAGCTGACTCCCTGAGTTCTGAAAAGATATGGGATAATATGTCATTCGTATATAAGAGAGGGCGGCATTGAGGACTGAAAGTATAAAGTGACTAGGGTGGACAACAATTTTTTAACAAGGATTGTAATTATTGTAATTATTTTAATTATTGTAATTATTTTAACTATTGTAATTATTGTAATTATTGTAATTATTGCTGTGTCCAAAGGAGATTTATCTCTCCGGATGTATTCCGTGGCCCTTAGTAACATTTTAATGTCGAGGATAAACAGAACTTTGGTAGGAGATTCGGACAGGAGTGACTAAATAATCTCCACGTAATAAGTTCAACGGAGTGTCAACGACTCAACGGAGAGTGACATGGAGGCAGCATGTCGATAAGTTTGATGTGAAGCTGGTGCACTGGGTACTTCTTCAATCTTCTCGAGATCATTGGCAGCGCCGGCGCTGTTCTGCTTGTAGAGTCTCGGACCGCGAGATATGGAAGTCGAGGACATGGAGCACTCGGATATTATCGATACGGGCTCGTCAGCCCGATCAAGGCTAAACTGCCTCTTGAGCAAACGACTTGAGCCCTTGGTGTAATACTCATTCGGGGATAGACACCTGTAGTGATTGTACGGTGTGCTGAGATCGTCCTCGTCTATGTGTCCAACTCGTCGGTGTCTGCTGCTTGTACCCCGAAATGCAGAGCTTGATATTGAGCTCAGGGATGTGGTGGAGGCTGCCCCTAGGAGAACAGCTGCCACGTCTGAACCGGTGCCAGGGAAATTTAGATCTCTGTCATCGTGAACTGATACGGCAACACGACGACTCGGACGCTCCTGGAGTGATGGTGCAGCTGAGAATTTTGAGCTTGTGCATGTCGTCGTGAAGGAAGAACTGCTCTGACCCGAACTGTTGTCGTCATCGTCCTTTGTCGAGGGTATCGTCAGCTCGTCGATCGTCGGCTCACGGATTATCTTCGGGGCCTCCACTGGAGAAACCTCTGATGGAGGTGAACTGTCACCTTCTGGCTTCATCCCTAGACTCTCCTCCAATCTGGAATGGTCGATCCATCTCTATCAGTGGATATCCATCACTTTTTCTGTTTTATATTCTTTTTATATCCTTATTTAATGTGATGTCATATTTTTTTCGTGTTGAATAACTAATCATTTTTCAATTGAGTATTGAACTTTTACTGTATCGTTATTACAAATTCAAAATTTAATTCTCCAAAAGTGTACCATCAATTACTAAATAATTATTTGATCAGTAAACATTGATTTCACGGAATTAAAAGCATAACAATCACCGCAGATGATTTAACTTCAAACTGAATTCTGAATTGGCAAAGATAATATTGACAATTCGTGGGGCTGTCATCTCACGGAATCAAATCAATTTAAAATGCCTAGAAGTCAGAGTTCCCTCTCGGCTACTGAATTATTCGCAACTCAATACGTTATCAATGATAGAATGGAGGCACTGAATATTTACCCGTGATCGTCCCTGGAGGTAGCAGCAGTCCGTTAAATTAATGTTAAAGTGAAAACCCATGGGAAAATATCGAAAGTTGATGCTGAATACTCACCCGAGTGGTGGTGGTGTTGGCAGTGGCTTATCGAAGCCTTGTTTACCGAGTAACCAGTATGTGGGCATTTTGCCCTTACCTTTAACATCTGTACATCCTCGGTACTCAATATGATAACCACCGACTTGGCAAAGTCTGTCACGAGTCGCTTGACTCAAGTGAATTCGCCAGGGTGCACCAGTTGACTCCATCCTCGACGCTGTGTTTACAGTATCACCGAATAAACAATAACGAGGCATTGTCAGACCCACCACACCAGCACAACAGGGACCTGAGCAAATATTGGTATTGTCTGGTTGAAAAATTATATGCCAGAGACAATAGACTTCAATGGCTCAATTTTCAAGGGATATCGAAAAACCTTTTGATAGAATTTTCTACAGCCACAAAGTTCACTTCACCTTTTATTCAAAATGCTAATTTTGAGGTGCTGCAGTGATTGCTGCGGCATTTGAAAGAGTGACCTTACTTCCGGGGTGGGTCTATAGGGGGGTCGAAATTTTACAAAAAAACTCCTATAAAAATTGCCGCTATCTCCCTCAGATTTCGATTTATGACGGAAACATGATGGACTTTCCAGGACGACAATACCGAAGCTTTTTTCAACTGAACCCTCAGCTTTTCTGAATTATCTTCACATGTATCGCAGATAGCGAAATTTTGATAAGAACTTTTTTGTAGATCTCATTTCGCGCTATGAAAAAGGTTTTATACAAATTTTTGTTATTTCTCTTGGATTTTGAGGCATTGTCCAAAGAGTAAGGTGCAATAAAGTTTTCAGGTTTTAGGGGAAGAAAAGAAAAAAAAATTGAACTCACCGGTGTGGAGACCGATTCTGAGTCGTAATTGGGTCTTGGGCAGATGTCGGACTTTGAATTTGCCACTCTGGTGTAATAAATCAAGTGCCATTGTCGCTATTTGTGATGCATGATCCTGAATTCTAACGGGACAGCCACCAACTACCATGTAAGCATCACCAATTGTTTCAACCTTGTAGACAGTGTATGCATTTATCGTGTCGTCGAAACAGGTGTACAGATCGTTGAGTAAATCGACCACTTGGAAAGGGGTCGAGTGAGCTGAAATTGCTGTGAATCCCACGATATCGGAGAAGTATATTGTCACTTCGGCAAATTCCTCGGGGTCCACCGGCATTCCCAGTTTCAATTTCTCTGCAACAGTGCTGTGAAGAACAACGAATTATTCTCAAGATCCTGATGAAATACCTTTCCTAGCAGTACCAGAACTAACCGAGCAGAACAAAAACTCGTTATTGTTCCACGAGAATTCCAAATTAACAAAGTGGAATTCAATCTCGCGTAGATATCACTATTTTCATCACGATGTGCCGAAAAGTAACTTTCCCGCACATTGCGAAGAAAAATATTCGCACCTAGTGGAGAAACTTGTTTTTGGCATGTGGGATTATATCACTGGCTTTCAGCTCGTGCCACAAACCTCCCGCACGCCAAAAATCAATTTTCCGCACTTGTTACGAAATATGCTATTAAGGTTGTTGTCGCGTAGAATTTTTTTTCAACAGTTTTCGTTAAAAATTTTATGGTGAATAGTTTGAAAAATTAGCAACAAAATGAGCCTTTTCCGTTTGCAATTG